ATCTTATGTTCCAAGCCAAGCAACCCAGTGACCACAGTCAGTTCCTCTGAAGCCAGGGTTCTGAGGGAACCCAGGAGCTGTGGTCCTTCCTGGTCCTGCAACTCAATGCTGGACGGCCTTGATACTAATTGCCCATCAGCCTCCATCTCTCCACACCTCCCACTGAGACCCTCTCTTTACTGAACTCCACCTACCCACCAGCGGGTCTATCTGTTCCCTTGTGAAATGAAATACATATATACTGGTTACTGCCCCCAGTTCCTGACACTGCTCCTAAAATCCTTTAAATAATGGTACTAAGGATGTCTGGGTGGTTCAGCTGCTTAAACATCCCATTTCAGCTCAGGTCATGATCTCTCATGATCTCGCCTGAGTTCAAGCCCCACATCGGTCTCTGTGCTGACAGCTCAAAGCCTGGAGCCCACTCTCTGACCCTTCTCCTCTCACTTGGTCTTTCTCTCTCTAAAATAAAGAAACATTAAAAAAAAAAAAGTTTTCGGGGCGCCTGGGTGGCTCAGTCGGTTAAGCGTCCGACTTCGGCTCAGGTCATGATCTCACGGTTCGTGGGTTCGAGCCCCACGTCGGGCTCTGTGCTGACAGCTCAGAGCCTGGAGCCTGCTTCAGATTCTGTGTCTCCCTCTCTCTCTGCCCCACTCCACTCGCTCTCTGTCTCTGTCTCTCAAAATACAACATAAATTAAAAAAAAAAGTTTTAATAAAAAAAAATAATGGTGCTAGAAAATCTTTTGTTCTCAGTCTTTTTATTTTTTTTTAAATTTTTTAATGTTTTATTTATTTCTAGGAGAGCGAGAGAGAGAGAGACAGCGTGAGCAGGGGAGGGCCAGAGAGAGAGGGAGTCACAGACTGAAGCAGGCTCCAGGCTCTGAGCTGGCAGTCAGCACAGAGCCCGACGCGGGGCTCGAACCCACCAACCGCGAGATCATGACCTAAGCGAAAGTCGGACGCTTAACCGACTAAGCCACCCAGGCGCCCCATTCTTTTTATTTTATTTAATATTTATTTCTGAGAGACAGAGCACGAGTGGGGAAAGGGCAGAGAGAGAGGGAGACACAGAATCTGAAGTAGGCTCCAGGCTCTGAGCTGTCAACATAGAGCCCAACGCGGGACTCAAACTCATGCAACTGTGAGATCATGACCTGAACCGAAGTAGGACACTCAACCAACTGAGCCACCCAGGCGCCCCCTAACATTTAGTCTCTGACCCTAGTTTCTGACACGGAACTTCTAAATCCCTTGGAATTTCCAAGCACCTCTTTTGTTCTCAGAAGGCATTCTTGGTAGGCTCCAGGATGGGTGCTAGTCACCAGAAAGCCATGATTATAAGCATGTAACTTTCAGCCCCACCCTCCATCCTCTGGAAAGGGAGAAAGGTTGGAAGTAGAATTAATAATCAATCATGTATATGTGATTAACCCTCCATATAATCCCCAAAGCATGGGGTTCACAGAGCTTCCGGGTTTGGTGACTACACCTATGTCCTGGGAGAGTGGCGGCCCCCAGCTCCATAGGGACAGAAGCTCCTTTGTTCAGAATCCCTTCTGAACTCCCCCTATGTATCTCTTTATCTGATAGTAATTTGTATCCTTTAATATCCTGTGTAATAAACTGGTGATTTAGTAGGTAAACTGTTTTCCTGAGTTCTGTGAACTGCTCTAGAAAATTAATTGAACCGAGGAAGAGGGTCACAGGAACCTCCCAACTTAGAGCCAGCTGGTCAGAAGCTCACCCAACCACCTAGACTTCTGACTGGCACATGAACTGGGGAAACCGAGCCCTTTACCTGTGGGATCTGGTGTTAACTCTGGGTAGACAGTATAGGAACTAAACTTCAGGACACCCAATTGGTGTCACAGAATTCCTAGAAGTATAGAAAACCCATACAACCGATGTTAGAATGCTGTGAATGTGCGAGTTGTGTGAGAATAAAGGAAAAGCAGGGAGTTTTCCTGAGACCTTCCCACCAGGACTGCTCGCTGTAGGCCGCCACCTCTCTTCTGACACTACTGCCTGCCCGCCTGCTCATCCCTGGTTTCCAAGTGTGCCCCTCTGGCCTGCCTCACTCCAGTGGCCTCTTGGCCCTGGCCTGGCTAGATCTTGTCTGTCCTGATCTAGCCTTCCATCTATTCTCCACACAAAGCCAGAAAATCAGTGCTAATGGATATGAAGTGTATTTTGGGGATTTTTGTTTTGTTTTTTTATCTGAGAGACACAGAGAGAGCCCACACACACAAGCAAGGAGAAAGGGAGAGGGAGAGAAAGAGGGATAATCTTAAGCCGACTCCATGCTCAATGCAGAGCCCAACGTGGGGCTTGAGCCCATGACCCTGGGATTATGATCTAAGCCAAAATCAAGAGTTGGACGCTCAACCAACTGAGCCACACAGGCGCCCCAAGTGTGAGGTTTCTTGTTGGGGTGATAAAATATTCTAACGTTACTAGTGATGATGGGTGCAAACACTGCAGATGCTAGAAGCCACTGAATTGTACCCTTAAAGTAGTCCGTCAGATCATCCATCCTCTGCTCAAAACCCTCCCATACTACCCTCTGGGAACTGACCTCACTTCCTCCTCCCTACTTTACCCACACAGTTTCATCCTCCGTGGTGGCCTTTTTTATGTTTCCTAAGTAAGCTCCTGAGCCAGGGCTCTGAACCTGCTGTGTCTTTGTCCAGAAGATTCTCCCAATAGCTGCGTGGCTCATGCCTCACATCCTTCAGATTTCAGGTCCAAAGGCATCATCATCAAGAGCTTCCTCATGACCCGAAGTAAAAGAGCATTCTACCCCCTGACACACGAGACTTGCCACTGAGTATCTCTCTACTGTCTGACACCACCAGCTCTTCCTTTCCACACTTTTCTTTTCTCTTTATCCTCGTTTATATTGCTCACTATACATCTTTACTTGGTACCTAGAAAATAATAGGCAGGCAACAGACACTAAATACTTGTTGAGTAAATAAATAAATAACTGGTCTGAGTGTGACCCATTCTTGACTCCAGCAATGGCACAACCAAAATATGAGTAGGTTTAAGTATAATTATCACAGGATACTAAAGTGTTAAAGTACACTGATATTAACAAAAATCCATACCTTCAGAGAGTTAATATCATTCCTGATAAAAGAAAAGATCGGTCTTTCAGATTTGCTAAAAAATGACGACAACCAAAGAAATCTGAACAACCTGAAAAAAGGAAGGTTAGGCAGATATCTAAATGGCTAAATTGCAAATGCAGGTTAAAAAAATCAATTCAAAGCTTCCTGATAGTGACAACCCACAGAGTATTTTAGAGCAATGATTTTGCTATATTGACTTGGTGTAAAGTGCAAGCAACCTTTTCTGTGAGGCCAAAATAGAAACAATTCCAGATTCAGGTCAATGAATAGCACTGTAAGCAGCCTTTGGTGCCTCAAAAAGGATCAAACTCCATGTACCTATAACATCCAACAGTCCAGTTAAAGATGAGACACAGCAGGGAGACTATGTGTTTACCCATCCTTATGACCAACTTCAGGTCAAGCACTCTATCTCATGTATGTTTATACCCCAAGCCTAGAGCCTGCACTGGGCCAAATGTATACTTGCTGAATGAATAATTCCCAGTGATCAACACCCCCAAATTATATGTATATATAAAATATATATATATATAAGCTATATTTATATATACATATATATCCATAGAATTGCCCATAAACTCATGTACATGTGGCAGTTTCCTATTTTCAGAATACTTTCTGAAAGCAAAACAATTCTCATTGTCATAGCTACTATGACATAATGTTTAACTACTGTCCCAAATCCACTGATCTCAATCTTAAAGGCAACTAAAAGATAGACTGGAGAACATTCAGGTTCAAAATATCACCTCACATATGACTTAGCACAAAAGGATTAAGGTACCCTTTCAGTGGAGAGATCTGATAAACACCACCTTCACCAAATGACTACTGACAGCATTGTTAGTAAAGGAACACACTCATGTTAAGGGTCTCCTGACATGATGCACTGGGAAGTGGACATCACCTGTGTAGATAGGATCCTAAAGACAAATGTTTAATCTGAATGTAATCATGAAAAAAAAATGATCAAATAAACTTAGATTATAGGACATTCTATGAAATTAGCCTGGACTCTTCAAAAATGTCAATGTCAAGAAACAAAGATGGAGTAACTTCTAGATTCAAAGAGACTAAAGAGACATGACAACTAAATGCACTGTGTGATCCTGGATTAGATCTGGTATTTTTTTCAAGGAAGAAAAAAGCTATATGGGGCGCCTGGGTGGCTAGGTCAGTTAAGTGTCGAAATTCAACTCAGCTCATGATCTCACGGTCTGCGAGCTGGAGCTCTGAGTTGGGCTCTGTGCTGACAGCTCAGAGCCTGGAGTTGCTTTGGTTTCTGTGTCTCCCTCTTGCTCTGCCCCTCCCCTGTTCACACTCTCTCTCTCTTAAAAATAAAAATTTTTTAAATAAATAAAAGATACTTATTGAAGTATTAGGCATCAAGTGCCATCACCTTTCAACTTTCATAACTTCCTTTCAAATGGGTCTGCAGAAAGGAAAAATGTTATGTGTGTGTATATCCATAATTCACACACACACACATATATAGATATAAAGCAAAAGAAGAAAAACATTAGTAATGAGTAGAAGTAAAGGGTATATGCTTGTTATACTAGTGCTTCAGTTTATCAGGATGTTTGAAAATTTCAAAATAAAGAGTTGGGGGAAAAATAAGGAAACAAAAAAGACTAATCTGGCCCAGCAGAACCTCCAGACTGTATGTACATTACATTTTTTAAAGTGTCTCCAGAATGCCAGAGATTTGTTGTCACTGTCAAATGTGCTCTTAGTACCTTTTGAAACGTGAGCTGCCGGATTATCATTTTAGCTATAGCTCCAAACTAACATCTGCACCTGCCCCAACGTGGTTACTATTACATCTGTCCCACAAAGCTGTCAGGCAGGTAATACACACCAAGTCCCGGGTGTCCACTGAACGGCGCCTGGCAGTCGCTTCCCAGAGGAGGAGAAATCACAGGTGCCTTGTTTATGACTGCAGTCAGTAATCCAATCGTCCCTCCTTTGCAGGTCTCAGGCCCAGTTCTCGAATTGTTTACTACCAGTCACCTTTGCCGGACAGCCCAACCTCACCCTTCCATCGCCACTGCTCTGCCTTCCTGCCTTTTAAAGGTCCAACCCAGAAGTGCGCCCTCCCCCCAAAGCCTTTATTAGACGTCCCAAATCATTTCTCCCCCTCTCAGCTTTCTGAGCACGAATAGCTTTCTTCTTCGTCTTAGAATTGCGAAAATGCCCTTACATCCGGCCTAGCAGAAGCTCCGGCGGGCGTTAAGGAGAGTGAAAACGCATCTGGGTCAAAGATCGCGAATGCGTGAGTGGGGAATTCGGCAACAGGTCTCAGAAAGTGATTCCTAGAAAGAGAAGCTGGCGGGGTGGGAGCATTTGGACGGAGGCGGGAGCGATCGGCAGACAACCCGGGGGCCCCGGGGGCGGGGACGAGACTGGCCCCTGAGCGCCGACCGCCCCTCAGCCCGGCCGGGACGGTTCGGCGTCCGAGCACCGAGAGCCAGAGCCGCGCGGACCACAGGGGCCAGGCGCCTCGAGCCCCTGACTAGGAGGGCCGCCCGCCTCCCAGGCTCTGTCGAGTCCCGGCCTGACTCTGGGGCTTCTGGAAACTCCAAAGAGCAACGTCAGTTCGGGTGGAGGCCGAGGTCCCTCCATCGACCGGTCCACTCGCGGCCGCTCCCTCCGCTCTGGCCCCCAGCGCGGAGTCGGAGTGACCGTCCAGAGGTGCCGGCGAGGAAGCGACGGAGGAAGAGCTACATCCCCCAGCCCCCGGCCGAGGGAGCGGGAACCTCCTGCCAGGAGGAAAAGAGCCCGGGGAAAGTGGGACCGCGGGACGGAGCCGCGGCGGAAGGGGCGCCCCGCAGCCGGGCGGCGGCCACTGACAGCCGAGTGCGCAAGCGCGGCGCGGGGCGGGGCCGGTACCTGGGAAAGAGCAGAGAGAAGTGGAGTTGGGGCACAGGGTCCCGTTGCCCACCCGCGGCACGAGCTTCAGGCTGAGGATCTGCTGTAGGAGCCCGGCCGACCCTCCGCTGCCGCCGCTCCCCTCGTGCTCCATCCCACCGCCATTCACCGCAGAAAGATGGGGAGGAGCGTCCGAAGTGCTGCCGAGGCTCGGTCGCTCTCACTCACAGACCCAAGCGCTCTCCGCACCTCTACCGCCTCAGCGTCACCCTCTGACGGGGGCCTCTTCCTCACACCTCAACTGCGCGGCCAAGTGATGGGCCCTTCCTCCAATCACAGGACGCTGCAGATGGCAGAGGCGGGGCGAGAGTTGTTTCCGCCCCTGACGTTGCGTACGGCTCACCGAAACCTGGCACCCACGGGCTACGCCCCCTACTGGACAAGTGTCTCCGACTCCAGAGTAGGATGTGGTCTGCTCAGCCCTTCTCTGCAGCGCCACCTATAAGACAGTCGGGGAATTGCATACCTTCCCCAGACCGGCGCGTAGATTTAAAACGGATCTACCAATGAGAATCAGCAGCTAGGTTCAGCAACTAGGTGAAGGAGGCTGGGAGACATCAGCAATACCTTCAAAATTTGGAGGGCAAGTGAATTTTTTTGAAAGCTTAACTTTCTTTAAATTAAAAAGCATTGCTTGCAGAGATGCCTGGGTGGCTCAGCCGGTTAAACATCCGACTTCAGCTCAGGTCGTGATCTCACCGTTGGTGAACTCAAGCTCAGCATCTGACTTTCTGTTGTCAGCACAGAGCCTGCTTTGGATCCTCTGTTCCCCTCTCTCTCTGCCCCTCCCCAGCTCGTTCTCTCTCTCAAAATAAATAAACTTAAAAAAAGTTTTTAAATAAATGTTTTGCTTGCAAAATTCATAGTATTTTACATAATATTAATTCAAGAACATCAGCAACATTGTTTATTAGAGTTCCCTTTTGAAGATTTTGTTTTGAGAGCTAATACCCGTTCCTCAACACTGCAACTGGGATTTTGCATCAATCCAGAAATGTACCTAAAATGGAAATAGTAAGTTTAAAAAGTTATGAAATATTTAATAATGCTGTCTTTTGGTACATTTCTCAGACCACGAGAGAGTGTGAGAAATGGAAGAAACATATTATTTTAGGGTTATATAACAATCAATAGTGTATCACATTAGGAAACATTATTTTGAATTTACAAGTCTATCCCCAGTCAAATTCTGAATTGAGAGGTTAAAAAAAAAAAGACATTTACACTTCCAGGACTCATAAAATGTATGTTTTATGTGCCTTTTCTAAGGAAGCAGAGTATGACCTCTAGCAAATTTAAGGAGTGATAACTGGGAAAGAGAAAGATCTGCAATATAAGAAATCATGGATTTAACCATGAGAGTTAGACTTTTTTTTTTTTTTTTCTAGGAGAGAGAGACAGCGTGAGCAGGGGAGGGTCAGAGAGAGAGAGAGGGAGACACAGACTCTGAAATAAGCTCCAGGCTCTGAGCTGGCAGTCAGCACAGAGCCCAACGCGGGGCTTGAACCCACGAACCGTGAGATCATGACCTAAGCGAAAGTCGCAAAAGTCGGACGCTTAACCAACTAAGCCACCCAGGCGCCCGGAGTTAGACTGACTTCTATGCAGAAGTCCTAGCAGCGATCTAACCAGATTAGAACAGACAGAAAAGCGTCCTTAGGAAAAATAGTGGAATTGACTTCAAGCTAGAGACAAAATGGGTAAGAAGCTCAAATTTCTAATGACAAGGAAAAGAAGGTACCTATTTCTTCTCTTAATGGGAAAAAAACCCTGAAAGGCCATACAAAGTCCAGGAGAGACAGCCTGCAAGAAAATTAGAAAGCAACTAGGTTTTTTTGTTTTCTTTTTAGAACTCTACCACCCATCTCACTTGTTTCACTTATAGAGAGATGCAGAACTATAAAACTACTAGAAGACAATGTTGAATATAGTTATGACCTCCCAATAGTGAAGGAGCTCTTAAAATAAAAAAATCAAAGCTTATAAAGGAAAGGACTGAAAAATTCACTTTGTTTTTTTCTTTTTCTTTTTTTCTTTATGTTTTATTTATTTCTGAGAGAGAGAGAGAGCGCGTGAGAAGGGGAGGATCAGAGAGAGAGGGAGACACAGAATCTGAAACAGTCTCCAGACTCTGAGCCAGCTGTCAGCACGGAGCCCGATGTGGGGCTCGAACCCATGAACTGTGAGATCATGACCTGAGCCGAAGTCGGCCACCCAACCAACTGAGCCACCCAGGCACCCCTGAAAAATTCACTTTAAATCAAGAACTTGTGTTGTTCAAGTGTAATAATAAAAAAAAAAAACAGCAAAAAGACAAACCACAAACTGGGAAAAGATATTTGCAGTATCTTTGTAACCGGCAAAGGAATAGTACCCAAGATCTACAAAGTACTCCTGAAACTCAGTAAGAAAATAACAAGGAGAAAAAAGATCTGAATAGGTACTTCATCAAAGAGAAAATACAAATTGCCAACAAAAAACAGGAAGAGATGCTCAACCTCATTATCAGCGAAACCCAAAATGAAGTCCCAATGAGATCATTTGTCAACCACCCAATTTAAAGTCTTGTGAATGCCAGTTGTGGGTGAAGTTGTAGAGCAACTGGAACTCCTGAGGGGTAAATTGACAACCAGTTTGGAATAATGTTGAATGAAGATTCTCATGATCCAGCAAGTTCACTCCCAGATGAATGTCCTATAGCACTGGCACCAGGAGATTCACACAAGATGGTTCCTAGTAGCATGGTAACAGCAAGCAACTGAAAACAAGCCGGGTGTCCATCAAGACAAGAATGAGTAAATAAAATTGTGATATAATTTTCAATAAAATACTATTTAGTCATTGAAATAAATTACTTAAAGCTGCAAGCAACAACATGATGAGGCCCTGGAATATAAAGGTGAGGGGAAAATGTAAGTTACAGAAGAAGGCCACAGTGTGATTGATTTAAATCCAGTTCAGAAACTTGCAAAACTAACCAATACACTAAGGATATTAACATAGACAGTGAAATTAAAATGACATAGCTAGGTGCTTGTTCTATTATTTTTTAAAATATCTGACCTATTACATACATATGTGATATTATATGCACATTTGACTGAGAAGTACCACAGAGCGAGAGTACCCTCCATCTCATTCCGAGGAAAAGCCAAAATCCTCACCAAGACCTACAAAGTCCTACACGATCTGACTCCCTCTCTCTTACTTTCTCATCTCCTAGCTCTCTTCCTCTGGCTCCCCAGACCAGACCCACTAGCCTCTTGCTGTTCTCCCAATATACCAAATAGGCTCCCTGCTTAGGATTTTTGTATTGCCCTTTTCCTCCTCTAGGACATTCTACCTGTCATCACCCCTTAATTAACTGCCTCACTTCCTTTAAGACTTTGCTCAAATGTTACTTTCTCAACAAGACCTATGCTGATCACCCTACTAAAAAATGCAACTCACACTTCTATGCCCATACATTCCTAACACCAGTGATTCTTCCGTACTTTGGCACTGCTTACTGCTCAATTCATAATGTGTGTTGAACAAATGAATGGAGGTGTGGAGGGCTTGAACACTGGGGTCAGAACGGTACTAGAACTGCAGGGCCAACCAGGTTCTCTAGTTCTACCCCCTTAGGGAGAAAACATGTGATTGGCCGAGGGACCTGCCACCTCAGGAAAATTCAAAGTCACTCAGTCTGCAGTGGTCGCTTCTGTCTCTGTGTGGTTGGCCAAACCCTCTCATTTCAGCGGACGCCCACTCCCTACTGAGGCTACCAATGGTTTTGGTCCAGTCTTTTTTTTTTTTTTTTTTTTTAAGACTTAACATTTTTAGAGCAGTTTTAGGTTTATAACAAAATTGAGGGAGAGGTACTTCCCATACACCTCCTGCCCTCACACATTTGTAGTCTCTCCCATTATCAATATTGACCACCAGAGTGGTACATTTGTGACCAAGGATGAACCTACACGCATACATCATAACCACCAGAAGTCTATAGTGTGTCTTAGAGTTTGCTTTCGGTATTGTGCATTCTATGGGTTTGGACAATTATATATGACATATACCCATTGTTATAGTATCACAGAGTATTTTCATTGGCCCTAAAACCCTATGCCCCATCTATTCATCCCTCCCTTCCCCACCCCAACCCCTGGCAGCCACTGATCTTTTTACTGTCTTCATAGTTTTGCCTTTTCCAGAATGTTGTATTAGTTGGAATCATAAACCATGTAACTTCTTCATTGGCTTTTTTCACTTAGCAATAGGCATTTCCGTTTCCTCTGTGTCTTTTCATGGCTTGATTTTTATCACTGAATAGTATTCCATCAAGTAGGTAAAAATGAAAATGACGGATTTACCTCTGTACAGGCAATGGTGGCGGGGTGGGGAGTGGTCAGTAGGAGAGGGAGATAAGGGCGTTCTTGACACCATTCCAGGGACTTTAAGTTGGTACTCCATTTTTTATAGTCATTTGACAGTTTCACATTTAAGACACAAATGCTCATTGATACAGTAGTTCAACTTCTAGGAATCTTTACCATAGACATACAAACTTGGTCACCTCCTGGGCCCACAAGTGGGTTTTTAATTTTGTCGAGGAAACTTGATTCCAAGGTGAATCCCTCTCTTTAACCTGGCTCCTTTTCATCATTCTGTGCTTCATTTATTCAAATCAGTGTTTCCTCTTCCAAGAGGTCTTGCCGACTCCCCATACTAAAGTAGGTCACCCTCTCCCCACTCTTAGTGTTTCTTCTTAGAGCACAATTGGCACTTATGTTTGCATGTTTATCTATGGAACTACTTATTTTGAGTCTGTACTCCCCACAAGAGTAAAGTCTGTGACTGCTCTGTCCCCTCAATATGTCTCCAGGGTCTGAAGTGTCCTGACTCATCGAAACGCTCAATTGGGCACTGCCTGTCCTTGTCCAGAAACCTTATCTGGGTTCACCCCCCAGGCTTGCTTAGAAACAGGGACACCAGGCCTATATACACTCACCCAGAGGCTTTCCCAGAGTACACTATATGCAAGGAGCCAAGTCTAGGAGCTAGTCATCCCCTTCTGGGATCGTGGGTGTATAGCCAGAATGGATGAATCACATGGCGAAGACCATTAATGGTGGCCATCCACACAGTCTGTGACTGGAGCAAGGGCAGATGAAACTTGTGTGATGCCATTATCAGGCTGGGCTCTGAGCCACCCCCAAAGCCTTCCTGGGCCCCACAAGCAATTGCTATCTCCCTATTCTTGGCCTCTGGCACCATGAACATCTTGTTCATTCCTCTTTGCCTGAACATACCACATTGTCCAGGACCATCCCTCCACTTGGCACAGTGCTCCTTCCAGACAGGGCCAGAAGGCTACTTTTATCCCCAGTGGCCAGCACAGGGCATAGGACAGGGAGAGGCAGGGGAGTATAATAGGGGCCCCAATGTTCCAGCCCACTGCCTATCATACCCTTCAACACTCAGGTCCTTAAGACATTTGCAGCCAAATGCCAGGATGGCTCCCTAACACCTAGAGACCTATGTCTCATACCAGGGAAATGGTATGGCTCTCCAAGCTGGTAGTGGGGTCCTTTACTGCATCCCCAGTTCAGTTTGTTAAAACTGCAAGCACTGAAGTCAGAAACGCAAGTTTGAGGTCTATCCTATCTATGTATCTATCTATCTATCTATCTATCTATCTATCTATCTATCTATCCATCCATCCATCTATCAGATGAGGATAGATATATCTACATAGATAAAGAGAGCATGAGCAGGGGACGGGGCAAAGGGAACGAGAGAGAGAGAGAGAGAGAGAGAGAGAGAATCGGAAGGAGGCTCCACTCCCAGCACAGAGCCTGATGCAGGGCTTGATCCTAAGACCATGGGATCATGACCTGCGGTGAAATCAAGAGTAGGATGCACTCAACCAACAGGCGCCCTGAGGTCTGTCCCATATATTAAGCTATGTGACCTGAGCCCTTCTAAACTGCAGAGTCCCCATTAACCAATCTGGGGTTTAAATACCTTTCCCATGTTACTGTGAAGGGGCAGATTGAGGTCTTATGAGGCCTGAAGCTTCTACAGCTTGACAGATCCTTAAGTAAGGTGTCCTGAAGGTTCAGCTTTGAGGTCAATATGTCTCTACTCCCTGCAAGAAAAGAAGTGGAAAATTCCAATTCCCTCTTGCCCGCCTGCTTTGCAGGAAGGATAGGGGACCACAATCAAGGTCCCACCAATCCAAGGTCATACCTGGGCTGAGAAAAAGGAGCGAGCAGCCTCCACAATCCCTTCTGGCAGCTGATGGCAACAGCGAGGGCAGATCCCTCGTCTCCAGAGGTGAAAGGCACATACGCTCTGACAACCGACAGTCCCCACATCAACACTGTGCCCCAAAGTTTGTATGCGCTCAAACCTGCTGCCGTGCTCTTCCCAGAGGGTCTGTGGGCTTTTTCTCCCTCCTCTTTTTTTTTTTTTTCCTTTTAAACTCTTACTGGGTGCTTGCTAACTCTCATCCTCATTTCCTGAGATCAGGACCAAGCCCCCTACACATCCAGCATCCCTTTCATAAGTCTCTGTGGCCAGAGCCAGGTGTTGTAGCTCGCAGGGCAGGTAGGAAAGGCATTCTGCTCTCCTCTACGGCCTGGCCCCTGGCCGGGAGGACCGAGGGAAGACAATCTCCCCACAGCCTTTTTTCTTCCAGTCTCCTGGCGAGATTTATCTAGTTACAGTCACCCTGTGACCTGCCCTCCAGGCACTGATCCTGATGCCAGCTTCTTGCTCTGCCACATGCTCTGCCTGGCTTGCTGCCCAGGCCTCCCCTTTGCCTCCTGCCAGGCTTATCCAGCAGGCTCTCGCTGCTACACTCTGGGCTCAGACGGCTCATGGCTTTCTGTAGCACGCAGCACGGCCGGGCCATGGCTGCCTGGTCTTCCCTAGAGCAAGTAAGATGGGAAAATCCGACCTCCCTTCATAAAGGAGAAAGGTCCCTGCAAGCCTCATTCACCCCTCGCTCTCTCCCGGTAGACGTAGACTCGGAGCGAAGTCGCCCTCCCCCCTCCATCTTCCTCAGGGTGTAACCGTGGACAAGTCCCTTCGATTTTGCGTTTTGCCTGTCAAACTTCACAGACTGTAAACTCCGGTATCACACAGCTTAATTAATTTTTATTTCTGGGGGTGGGACTTTTACTGTCAGGACACATCAGAGGTTCACTTTACCTGGGCAGGTGCTGGGAGTATGTGGGCTTCCTGGGAGATGGGGCAAAGAGAGGCTAGAGGGAGACCACAAGATAAGAGGCACCTTGTCTGATTTCTTTCTGAAAGAAACAAGTGACTATAAATGCCAACAGCTCCAATAGAGACATGGGACGCGGGGGTAACGGAAGTCTGGGGTTTGGGGGGGAGGGAGGTACAGACTTGAGGGGCCAGCTCACCACAGGTGAGGGCTCCTAGGTAGGGCTGGGACCCTCTTGTCAGCTGTTGGATGATGCATCCAAAAGGAAAAGAGAGTTAGGAAGAAAGCACTTGAGTAGCAGCCGGAGTCGTCTGAACTTCCCTGCGCCCAGAGGAAGTGAGGACACACTTGGTGCTTTCCATGCAGTCTGCGCCCGATGGGAACCCAGCTCCTAAGGAGGGCTCAAAAGGAAAATCAAGAAGCAAGAAGCAAGAAACATGGAGTTTTGGGGACCATTCCTACTACAGAGGGAGACGCCCAAACTCCCGGCCCCTCCGCTAGCAGCCCGGGCGCTGTGTGACCGGCTCCCTCCCCGCTGCCACAGCCGGCGGCGCGCGCTAAGGCCGCGGGTGCGCTGCGGCGGACGACGCCCAGCTGAAGCTGCTAGCGCCGAGCGGCAGCACCAGGTCCACGGCGAGGTCCCGCTGCTCGGCCTCGGAGGACACGGCCCGGTAGCCCAGCAGCTGCAGCGCGCCGGCACACAGCTCCTGCACGCGGCGGATCTTGGCGAAGGGCAGCGCGTGGCGCCAGGCCTGGGAGACGTTGAGCGCGTTCCTGGACGAGGTCTTGAAGGCCTCGCGCCGCGCGCCGGGCCCGGACCCGTGCGTGATGTTGTGAATCCAGGCCTCGAGCTGCGGCGTGAGGCTCAGGCCCGCGAAGTCGTAGAGCTCGCGGATCTCGGGCAGCGGCGCCCGCGCCAGATCCTCGAAGCGCACCAGGCGGTAGCGGCCGCGCAGGAAGGGCGGCGGCTTGCTGGTGGCGGCCTCGGCGATGCGCACGTGGCTGCGACACACCTCGCGCACCACGCGCAGGCCGGGGTCGGACTCCACCCAGGTGCCGTTGGTGCCCAGCACGATGCCGTTGTCGCGCGCCAGCGCCTTGGCCGCCTGCTCGCGAGAGCGCAGCACGGCCCGCGGGTCTCGCACCAGGTGCACGATGCGCAGGTTGAGCGCGGGGTCGCTGAGCAGCGGGTAGAGCACCTGCAGGTTGAAGAAGCGCACCTCCTTGAGCACCACGTGGCTGTAGGAGCGGCAGGCGTCCCGCGCCAGGCCGAAGGGCCGCCGCCCGCACAGCGGCTTGCACACCGCGTCGCTGCTGATGGCGCCGCGCGGGAAGGCGGCGCAGGCCGGCGGCGAGCACAGCGCGCGGCTCACGGAGAACTGGAAGAGGTCCGACAGGTTGCGGCGCCACGGCAGGTAGGCGTCGAACACGTCCATGTCGCACAGGAAGACGGAGCGCACCAGGTCGCGCACGGCCATGTGCAGCGCCGGCGCGCTGCCCTGCGACAGTGTGGTCCACACGTGCCACGCGGGCTCCATCAGGTAGAAGACGTCGGGGTGCTGGCTGAAGAGCTGGCCCACGAAAGACGAGCCCGAGCGCCACGAAGACAGCACCAGCACGTGCACCCGCTCCTTGCCGCCCACCGGGGACGGCGGCCTGGACCAGGACACCAGGAGGAGCAGGATGGCGGTCTGCGCCAGCAGGAGCACGGTCACGGCCGTGCTGGAGACGCGGGGCAGCCACATGCCGCCGGCCGGGGGCCTGCGGGAGGAGAGTGCAGCCGTTAAGGACCGCGGCCACTCGCCGCGCCGCAGCCCGGCTGCTGCCCGTGCTTTCGGCGAGCAGGCCGGGGTCTGGACACCCGCGCGGCCCTTCCTGGACTACAGCCGGCTCGGTTGGGCGCTCCCCGCCCCCCTGGCAACAGGACACAGGACTTCAAGACATCCGCCGTATCTAGTCTGTGCAGTGCAAAAGGCTAGTTGCAGACCCCTGTGGGGAATGTATGCCATCCTTGCTTCCTCCCTTCCCCCCCACTTCTCTCCCTCTCTTTCTGCCTTACTTTCTTTCCTCCCTTCTTTCTTCCTTCCCCCTCCCTCCCTTCTCTTTCCTTATTTCTTCTCTCTCTCTCTCTCTCTCTCTCTCTCACAGAATTCCCACCTTTTGCTAAGAATTCCTTTTTGGGAGACAATTTTAGGTTGTTTAGCTAAACAGCTTGATGAGTGGTTTGGCTCCCTCACCCGGCTCAGCCACTTCCTAGCCAGTGATCTCAGACCAAACACTTAATCTGTCTTTAACTCAGTTTACCCATCTGTAAAAAGAGGATTAATACTGGTGCTGGAGTAATGGAATGAGGGGGGGAGGGTGGGCAGGGCATGTTGTAAATCCAATAACTGATAACTTGCACTTTCCACACAGGGCGCTTCTTTTTTAAATAGAATTTTAAAAATTTTATTTAATTTTTTAGAGAGAGAGAGAGAGATAGTAGGGGAGGGGCAGAGAGAGAGAGGGAGACACAGAATCTGAAGCAGGTTCCAGGCTCTGAGCTGTCAGCACAGAGCCCAATGCCGGACTCAAACCCATGAAACATGAGATCATGACCTGAGCCAAACCAGCCGAGCCACCCAGGCGCCCCACACACAGTGCACTTCTGTGTTGACTTCTTTTAGACAAGCAGGTACAGCTTTTATTATTAAAAGTAAACAAATAAATGACATAGACAAAGAACGCCAGTGTTGCCACCTACAGGGAGTAAAGTGCTGCAGGCTGCGCGGACTTCAGAGGGAGGGTCCCGGCTGGAGCTGTGCACTGTGCAGAAGAAAGCAGTTAAGGGAGAGGCGGAAAGGCGCGCGACAGCAGGCCGGCCCCTGGCCACGTCCGCCCTCTGCACACTGCGGTTACTCACTGTGGTCCCCGCCTGCGGGGAGAGGCACCCACCTCAATCACAGGTCCATGGAAAATGTCTGCGGGTGTTTCAGGGCCTGAGGAAGCAGGAGGGAGGCCGGGTCAGGGTCTCACAGGAGTTTTGCATTCCGGGACTGACAGAAAGTTCCCTGCAGGTGGGAAGAGAGCTCCCCAGCCCTGGCCTGGAGCTGGGCACAGACCAGGCACAGGGTACGTGTTTCCTTTTTTTTTTTTTTTTTTTAAATTTTTTTTAATGTTTTTATTTATTTCTAGGAGAGAGAGAGAGAGACAGCGTGAGCAGGGGAGGGTCAGAGAGAGAGGGAGTCATAGACTGAAACAGGCTCCAGGCTCTGAGCTGGCAGTCAGCACAGAGCCCGACGCGGGGCTCGAACCCACGAACCGCGAGATCATGACCTAAGCGAAAGTCGGACGCTCAACCGACTAAGCCACCCAGGCGCCCCAGGGTAAGTGTTTCCAAATGGGCGTGAACTGGCGGTGTCTCCTGCAGGATGGGGAAGGGAGGGGCTGGCACGGAGCCCTCTGATGCCACTTAGGAGCTAGGAGACCTGGGGCAGATGACTTGACTTCTCCAAGGTTCAATTTCTTCCTCTGTAAAATGAGGATGATAACATTTAGCCTCTTGGGCTTGTCATGAGGAAGGTGCCACATGTGGACGGAGGGCTTGCGAGCGCCACACACGTGTCCCGTGCTCCCGCTGCTGGCACCGTGTTGCGCTGTGTCTGGAGAGGAGGAACCACGGGAGGTCTACGCCCAGCTGAGACACCCTGAGGTCACCTACATTTGGAATTCCAGCATCTCCCGAGCCCGCCTCTAGTCCCCAACCACTCCTGGGTCCTTTAGTGGATCTTAAGAATGTCACACTTGTCCCTCACAGCGGGAGGAACTGTGAGCCAAGCTCGCACACCCCGAGGTCTGACTTTTTCCCTCTTCGCTCCTGTTGCTCTTGCATCTGTTTACTCCGACGCTGCCGCCTGAATCCTGGATCCTATGCTCGCTCCCGAAAAACAGGGAGAGCAGCGGCCTTTCTGCTCCGCACACGTAATCTCCTCAAGGGCGTGTGTCCCCGCGAGAACAGCATACAGGAGAGGAAGGGAACTCAACTCACATGTGCTGACATAAATGACCGCAAGTGCCAAATGCTATCATTTAACTCAATGGCCCCTTTGGTAGACATTATGATTTCAACGTTTTAGGAGAAGGACCCAAGGCTTGGAGAGATAGTAGGGAAAGGGGGAGTCCCGGCCCAGCATTTCTGTCTCTAAGCTCCTGGCACTTTCTGATCCCAAGCAGCTGGCCTCTCCCATTCTTGTGGGATCCCTGCAGAGCACAGGACCCTGATGTCTGGCCCAAACACAGCTGCCCTGGCCAGCCCAGCCCTTTTCGGGCTAGGGAGGGTCTTGACCGCAGGCCAATATGTTTGTTACCCGCACTCCAGGGATACCAGGCATTTTCTTAAGTGACTCACACAATACAGGAACTGATACCTGATCTTATTACTAGAACCTGAGAACTAGGAAGAGGGCTAACACATCCTACCCCATGCAGTGTCCAGAGAAGTCCAGGTCCTGTGAGAGATTTTCTGATAAGGAGCCTTATGTATAGAGCACACCCAATTATCTCAGGGTTCAAAGTTAAGGAGAACAGTTTGGGAAGGTACTGAGATAAGTACTTTATGATTGAATTGCATCCTCCTAACACTCCTGGAAGGTAGAAATTACCTCTTTTTTTTAAAAAGTGTTTTTCTTTCTTTTTGAGAGAGTGAGAGAGAGAGCAGGAGAAGGGCAGAGAGAGAGGGAGACACAAAATCTGAAGCAGGCTCCAGACTCTGAGCTGTCAGCACAGAGCCTGATGCGGGGCTCAAACTCATGAACCACAAGATTGTGACCTGAGCTGAAGTCAGAGGCTTAAACAACTGAGTCACCCAGGCGCCCCTACCTCTATCTGTTTTTAGTTGAGGCAGTGGGGCCCAGAGACATGAATACTCAGTAAGGAACAGGGCAGAGGTTTAAATCCAAGTGCCAGACACCCAGGGTAGCACTCTGGGGCGGGTCTTACTCCTAAGCCCTTCCCCAGTGAAGTCCTCCATCTTGGAAGGCCCTTTCCCTCTCCCCTACGCATTCTTTCATTTTAAAATTCTTTGGGGCATATTTATTTTTATGTTTGATTTTTGAAAAAGGTAATACGTAGAGGTGACACAAGATTCTAGAGGTACATATAAGGTCATCGTGGACTCATATTTTATTCATGAGAATTAGAATGGGGGCCCCATCTTCTGGCAGACACAGCTCCACATGAGTGCAAGGGCCACTGACTCAAAAGGAAGTGATGCTCTCTGCTTCTGTGCTTCCCCAACCCCAGCATACCTGTGCCTCCAACTTCCACTAAGCCTTTGATGGTAGTGATAAAAACAATCATGTATTTGGGGGGGATGAAGGTGGGAACAAAGTACAAGAGGCCACAGAGGAAACAAAGTTTCCCCTCCAACTCTGATACCCAGGACCACTATACTTACTCAGTAAGTCTTTGTCAAGTCACTGCAAGTTTTTTTTTTTTTTGTCATTAAGTCAATATTTCAAAATGTACATCATATGGCTTTGTAAAATAGCTCACCGCTAAAGCACAACAGTGCCCTAAGACCACATTTCCTTTCTTGCATAACCCTTTGTTTTTCTTGGGAGTTAAATTGCCTTAGAGATTAAAAGCGTAGTGTTGAAACATACAATTGAAGAAGTGTAGAAGGTAGAACAAAAAGATCACTGATGGATAAAAGAGGGAAAAGAGTTAAAAGATAATAAGGAGACGATCAGTGCAGGAGGTCCAATGTCCAGGGTCCTTTTCATAGCAGAGCTGACAATCTATCTGGGAACATTAAAGGCATACCTATGATGTGGCCAAGGGACCAGATAATGGTCGAGTGAGTGGTCCAACTATCCAGTGCTAAGGGAGGCTCATGCTAGTCCTGGCATGCATACTTCTCTCCTGGATTCTGAAAAAATCCCCTTCTAGTTCTCCCCTGCATTTCATACTGCACAGAACCACCAGAGCCGTCCATGCCATATATTTGATCATGTCATCCTCCTACTCAACAACCTTCAGCTTTCCAAACTCATTTCCCATAATTCCGACCCAGTTTCCTATATGTCAGATGACCTGGAATGAACACTCCATGTTCCCCCCTCTTCTCTGCTGTGAGTGCCCATCCCAGCTTCCTCTGAGGACACCTCATCCGTGCCTCCCTCAAGCCACGTCCCACTCTACCCTGAGTGACACTTTGCCTCCCCTTCTTGCCTGTGAACAACTCTAGAGAGTTGAGACTGTGTTTCTTCAGACTGTCTGTTCCCAGGCATCCAGTGTGGGGCTGAGCCGCACAAGTGCACTACTAGACAGAGTCTGTTTGGGTCCACTCAGTACTTGTTCCTCCTTATTCTGCTAACAGCCTCTAGATTTTTCTTTGCGGAACCACCCCTCCCACAAAGTGCATGTGGCTTGCATGGAGCTGACTGCCCACTTCCCGGTTCTTAGGGAGTCATGCGTCCCCAAGCCTGGTTTGTCTATCTATTCCACACACCATCCCCCCATCAAGCGACAGGTTTAGGAATGGACATCTGCCCCAAGTCCAATCCCGGACTTTTGTAGATCTTCAGGGGAGAGGGAAACTGCCTGGGTAGGAAGGCAACACAGAAGAGAAGTGAGCAAAGTCTGAGAGCTGCGAGCAGCTGGCAGCATCTGGACCCTCTGGGCAAGATTCACCCGTGGACTTCTCAGTTGGGGAAAATACCACCTTTTTTAGTCAAGTCAGCATGAGCTCAATTTCTGCCATTTACAATCAAGTGTTTTGACTGAAGAGTAGGTCGTGCTGGGGGTTAGGGTGCAGGCAGAGCCCTCAGGGAGCCTGGAATGAGCTTCTGGGGGCCCATCTTGCTGTGTTTCTTCAGGAGGTGCTAAGGACCTGAGTGTGTTTGATTGGTGGAAAGTCATCAAACTGTATTTTTATGACTTCTGCTCTTTTTCTGCATGTATATTTCAATAAAAAGGTCAGAATCCTGACTGAATAAGGCAGTAAGTGTCACATGAGGAGATATCCCAAAGACTCAGCAAGTAGATGATATTAATAAAGATTTGCCTAATTGAAGTCAGATACTCTCTGATCCAAATCCAAAGGGAGGAATTCGGCATGTGTCCCACATTTCTTCCTACTGAGCATTTATTTTTAAGTTTAATTATTTTTGAGAGTGAGAGCACAAGCAGAGGAGGGGCAGAGAAAGAGAGAGAGGGCGTGAGCACAGGCAGGAGAGCAGCAGAGAGAGAGAGGGAGAGAGAGGATCCCAAGCAGCTTCTGCACCGTCCTGCTGAGCATTTTAAAGTGACAGTATCTTCTAAATATCCTTGACTGTTTCTTGGCCTGAGAGACATAGGGAGGGGACTGACTTGCAGAGGGGAAACCTGAGGGCAGGATGGTGTGCCACAGGAAGGGGTGAGCTGGAGCCCAGGGATCCAGCTTTCTGGGAAACCCTCACCTGCACCCTGGCTCTGTGTGCCCTTGACTCCACAGCATCTCCTGTCATCAGCCCCTCCCAGTCCTGGCATGGCATCTAAGGGAGTGAAATGTACAAATCCAGGGCTCAGATTTCTCTCAGTTTGGCATCAGCTGGAGGCTATCCCTATTCAGGAATCCCAAAGGCTAGAGAAAACAGATTCCAGATAAGGGATCAGTGGACTCTTGGCATCAAGGGCCACCCCTGGGGGACAAACCAGCTCTAATGGAGCCCAGGGCATCTGTTAGAAAGAAGGCTGAAAAGGAGGGAAAAAGAGAATTAAAAAGGGGGGGGGAGGGAGAAGGCAAGGGAGAAAAGGAGAGAGAAGGAGGAAGATCAATGTTTAGAGTGAGCTGCAACCATGGAACACCAGTAAATACCATCTATTGAGAGCTTCCTGTGTGCCAAGAGTTTTCTGCCCATCTTCTGAAGTGGACCTGATATTCTTCCCTATTTTACAGATCAGGGAAGTGAGCTTCAGAAAGATTAAGAAATTTGCCCAAAGGACCCACGCAGCAGCAGAGTCAGAATTTAAATCCTCACCACCTAACTGTAGAGCTCTTAACTACATAGCGTCAAGTGGAAGAAACCACAAGGACCAAAACATACAAGGATATTAAAAATACACCAATATCAAAGGAGATCATCAAGAAAGAAAGAGGACACCCCTGGATGGGAGGAAATACTTGCAAATCATATGTATAGCAAGGGACCCAAAATATATGAAGAGCTCTTACAACTCAATAACATAAGACAAACAACCCAACTTAAAAACAGGCAAAAGATTGGAGTAGACATTTCTCCAAAGACATACAAATCACCTACAAGAGCATGAAAATATGCTTGACATTTTTAGCCACTTGGGAAATGGCGATCGATACTATAATGAGATACCACTTCCCATCCACTAGGATGGTTAGAGTCAAAAAGGTAGATCACCAGTGTTAGTGAGAAGGTGGGGAAATCAGAAGCCTCGGACACCGCTGGGGGATGTAAAGTGGCACAGTTGCTGCAGACAATAGGTAGTTCCTCAAAAGGTTAAACACAGGGTTACCAAGTGGTGCAGAGATGCCACTCTAAACTACATATATCCAGGGGTGCCTGGGTGGCTCAGCTGGTTGAGCGTCCAACTCTTGATTTCAGTTCATGGGATCAAGCCCTGCATCAGTGCGGAGCCCACTTGGGATTTTCCCTCTCTCTCTCTCAATCTCTTTCTCTCTCCCTCTCTCTTTCTGTCCCTCCCCTGCTTGCACTCTTTTTCAAAATAAATAAACATTTAAATAAAATACATTTCCAAGAAGACTGAAAACACATGTCCGCACAAAAATTTGTTATTACCTTTCACAGCAGCATTATTCATAATGGCTTCAAAGTGGAAACATCCCAAATATCTAGCAATTGATGAATGGATAAACAAAACGTGTGGTACATCCATATACATTGCCCCTTGAGGAATGTGGAAGTTGGGCATCACGCTCTACACAGTTGAAAATCCATGGGTAACTTTTTTAAGTAGTGTCACACCCAGCATGGAGCCCAATGTGGGGCTTGACCTCACAACCCGGAGATCAAGACCTGAGATCAAGACCTGATCTTCTGAGATCAAGGATTGGATACTTAACGACTGAGCCACCCAGGCACCCCCCCACCCCCACCATGTGTAACTTCTGGCTCCCAGAAAACTTAGCTACAAATAACCTTCTGCTGACTGGAAGCCTTAACAGTAACAGTCAGTTGATGCCTATTTTGTATGTTACATGTATTAAAATAAGCCAGAGAAAAGAAAATGCTACTAAGAACATCGCAAGGAGGGGAAAATATATTTACAGTACCATCATCGCAAGGAAGGGAAAATACATTTACAGTACCATACTGTGTTTATTGAAAAAAAAATCTGCATATGTGGACTCACAGTTTAAACCCACATTGTTCAAGAATCAACTAATTGAATGTGATTTGGCAGTAGGAAGTATTGACACGTGCTACAACATGGATGAACCCTGAGGTGATTAACACGCAACATGAATATACTGTGCGCCAGTGAACTGTGCACCATAAAAGGGTGAACTTTAAGGTATGTGGATTGCATCTCAATAAAGCTTTTATTTAAAAAAAAAATACGCAACTATATATAGAAAACAAGTTGGAAGGATGTGTGCTGAATAGTAGTTCCCTTTCTATGGCCAGATAACAAGTAAATTTTTTCAGGTTAGTGCTCTGCTGCGCTTTCCAGGTGGTCTAGGATAGACGTGTATTACTTTGGTCATCGTAAAATCATAAACTTGGTTAAAGGAGCCACGGGCACGGGTGGGGCTTGCTGCTCCAGCTTTCACTGCAGGATGAGAAGTGCCTGCGTACCAAGTACCAATCTCGGGCTGACCTGAGTACCAGTTGGCCAGCGTAGGACGAGGGAAGGACGGGGAATTACCTCCTATACGCTGAAAGCGGGGAAGAGCCCTAAGCCCGCCCTCAGCCTCAGGGCTGTGGACTGGGCCAGGCTGTGGCAGAAGACACTCCTGGCCCCGAGCCCTGGCCGCATCTGCTCTCTGCCAGCCCTAATGGGCAGCTTCGTGGCATCAGCCAGAGGCAAGGAGGCTGGAGTCACACAGCCCAGATGCTGCTGGAGGAAGTGGATTTGCTTGCAGGAATCTATTGGGAAATGAAATGAAATTGTCTGGGAAAGGAGCCTTAAATCCCCCTGGCTCAGGGCCACCCTGGGGGCATTTCAGGGCAGATGAGTAGATAACGCGTAACACCTTTCCCTGGCTCTGAACGTTGGGGATCCTCAAAATGCATTTTGCACAGGACCTAATCATAGACACTTACAGCTGGGGAACCACGTCAGGGGGCTCCCACCTCTTTTCTGAAATAACACATGCAGGGGATGGGGGTGGGGAGTGCACATTTGGCACATTCTCCTGTGTTCCCCCAGGTGTTGACGGAGCCCTCTTATTACAGGGATAATCTGGAATGTTCTCTGGTTTATTTTGTAACACTTCAGTTTGATTCATTTATTTCTGAAAAGCAAATCATACTTAGAATTCAATGACATAAAAAAAAGGAAAGGGATGTTTTAGAAGAAAACTACTCAAAACGTATAACAGCCAAATGCAGTGTGTGGCTGTTGTTTGGATTCTGATTCAAACAAACCAAGCGGAAGAAGAGATCTTTGAGGCAATCAGAGAAATTTCAACTTGCCGGAGTATTAGATGACACTGAGAAATCACCATTCGCACTACTATCACCACGCAGAATACCCTTGTTCACGCATTTCTGTACCCAGCTCCCCTTACTAGACTAGAGAAGCAGGATTCTGTCTCATGATAGGGAGTAGGGAGGGCACAGTGGCTGATGAGCTCCATTTGATCATTTACTGTGTGATCTTGGGAAAGTTACTTAATGTCTCTGTGCCTGTTGTTGTTGTTGTTGAAACTATTAAATGGAGGAAATTCACCAGGCTGGCTCAGTGGGTAGAACGTGTGATTGTTGATCTCAGGGTGGAGTTCAAGCCCCATGTTGGGCCTAGAGCTTACTTTAAAAGGTTTTTTGTTTGTATGTTTGTTTTGTTTTAGAGAAAGAGAGAGAGAGAGACAGCGTGAGCAAGCAAGAAAGCATGTGTAAGCGGGGAAGAATAGTAATGGAGGGAGGAAGGGGAAGGGAGAGAGAGAGGGAGAGAGAGAGAAAATGAGAATCTTAAGCAGACTCGACACTGGGCTCTATCCCATGACCTTAGGATCATGACCTCAGCCAAAATCGAGTCGGATGCTAAGCCACCCAGACTCCCCTAGAGCTCACTTAAAAATATGGGGGTGTCGGGTGGGTCAGTCAGTTAAGTGTCCAACATTGGCTCAAGTCATGATCTCACAGTTCTTGAGTTTGAGCCCTGCATCGGGTTCTGTGCTGACAGCTGGGAGCCTGGAGCCTGCTTGGGATTCTGTGTCTCCCTCTCTCTCTGCCTCTTCCCCAGGTGCATTCTCTCTCTCTCTCTCTCTCAAGAATTAATAAACATTAAAAACTTTTTTAAATAAATAAATGGAGGAAATAATATAACCCAGGTCAGGGTTTTATTTGAAGAGTGAATGAATACTTACAATATTTATAAAGCACTTAGAATTTAATATAAAGTACCCTAGTATTTGCTCAGAAATCTTTCAAATCCTGGATTACAACTATATTCTATGAATCCAAGCGAAAGCATTTTCATAAGGAAAAAGGACAATAGCCTGATCTGGTTCAGGTGACCCTAGGAACAGAATGTGGCAAGCCCAGGCAGGGTCAGAACATGTACATGCAGGGGTGCCTGGGTGGCTCAGTCAGTTAAGCTTCTGACTTCCGCTCATGTCATGATCTCGTGTTTCATGGGTTCAAGCCCTGCCTCGGGCTTTGTGCTGACAGCCAGCTCAGAGTCTGGAGCCTGTTTCAGATTCTGTGTCTCCCTCTCTTTCTGACCCTCTCCTGCTTACGCTTTCCCTCTCTCTCTCTCTCTATCAGAAATAAAACATAAAAAAAAAAAAAAGAACATGTACATGCAATACAGCAGTGAATAACGGCCAGAAGACTGGCTTCTGAAGACGGACTGGGTTCAAATTCTGCCTCTGCACCAGTGAGGTGTGTGACTTTGAGCAGGGCACTCCTAACATCGGCTCCGTTATAAAGGGCGCTGTAACAGCCCCTACCATACGCGGTGGAGAGGAGTAAATGCAACCGTACCCTCAGCACAGCCGCCCCTTACTGTGCGGAAGCGGCCAAACACTATTCTCATTAACTCTGGTACTTGGCACCCTGGCTCTGGGCCCCAGGGCAGCCAAGTCCTTTCTGCTCTTTAGGCCTCAGTCTTCCCATCCTCATGCTTCCGGTGCAAGAGGGTACAGAAAAGGGGCGTCTGGGTGTCTCAGTCGGTTAAGCGTCCGACTTTCGCTTAGGTCACGATCTCACGGTTCGTGGGTTCGAGCCCCGCGTCGGGCTCTGTGCTGACTGCCAGCTCAGAGCCTGAAGCCTGTTTCAGAGTCTGTGACTCCCTCTCTCTCTGACCCTCCCCTGCTCACGCTGTCTCTCTCTCTCTCTCTCTCTGAGAAATAAATAAAACATTTAAAAAAAAAAAAAGAGGGTACAGAAAAGAGAGTTAACATCTGCGGAGCACCTCCGCTGAGGCCAAGATCTAGCAGTTAAAACAGGGGCCGCCAGGCTCCAATTCAGCTGCATATGGTTCTCAGTTCACTTCCCAAGCTGCTTTTCCTCAAAAGAGTTCCGCAGAAAAAGCTTTCTGGATTAAAGCCATGCCCTCGGAAACTCCCGTTTTCAGAGTTTAGGGATCCCCAGCAGCGATCGCCTGTGCAGCTGAAGCCCCAGGAAGGCACTTTGAATCCGGCGCCTGGGGGCTGCAATGCCCCTGCCACCTTCTGCTAGAACGACCACCCTCAGCTCTTCTCCCCACACCCGGCTCCTCCGCTACAAGATCAATGCCCCTGCGTGGGGGCGCCCTGCGTGGAGAGAGGCCGAAGCAACGTACCCCGAAGCTGGCGTCCCTGCGCGAGCTGGCGCGGCGGGGAGGCGGACACCTCTCTGCTGAGGCTCTGCAGCGGCGCCTTGACCTCGCCTCTTCCCGGGTCCAGTCCACGGCCGGCTGTGTCTTCACTGGGAGACTCCGCAGGGACTGAGGTGCTCCGTGGGCTCCCGAGGCTCTTCGGGGGCGCGCAGGGACCCCGGGGAGAAGGCCGCGAGGCGCACGGGCGCGGGGTCAGCGGATGCCTCGATATTGGAGGCACCTGGCGAGCTCCGGCGGAGGGAACCTGGAAACGCGGCGGGAGTGCCCTGGAAACCGAGAGGCGTCGTAAGAACGGGATGCGTGCGTGTGAGGGCAGTCGTGGGGCAACGACGAGACGCGGACCGGGGCGCCCCCGCCCCGGAGCCCCCCCACCCGTGCCGGGCGCCGCGCCCCCCGCGCCCCCTGCGCCCCGCGCCGCCCGTGCAGCCGCCCGCGGCCGGAGAAGAGCGCACACAATGAGGCGCTTTCAGACGTGGCTGCGGTCCCGGAGCCGGCGGGCGGGAGCCGGGGCGGGAGGGATAGAAGGAAGGAAGGAGCCGGTTGGCCCCCGGCTCCCACTACCCTCCCCACCGCGGGGGAGGGGCGGCCGCCTGGGGGCGGGCGCGGGAGGACCGGGCGAGGGCGGGCATGGGGGGGGGCCCGGGGGGGGCGCGCGGGAGGATGTCACAGGGCGCCGGCGGTCACCCCTCACCCGACTAATTGACCGAAAGAGTTGTGTCTCCAGCTCCGGTCCCGGAGAGCGGAGGCTCCCGGGAGCACAAAAAGGCCCTTGCGAGGGAAATGAAATCGTGATCTTGCCCCTCCTCGCTCTCCGCGGTATCCTCGCAGCGAAGTGACTTGGAATCCAAGCCGCTTTCCCAAGCCCCCAGCCTCAGACCTAAGCAAGCCAAGTCCAAGATAACCTTGATGCCAGTCGAACAGCGCAGACTTTCCATCCAGTAGTGGAGCTGGGAGGGGCCGAGACGCCAGGTGGCCCTAAGGAGCTAGACCCAGAGCTGGCTGCCCCTTCCTTCCGTCCCTTCCCTGTTCTAGTCTCATCTGCGAGGCACAGGGTTGATAGCAAGTCCGGGTAAATACAAGACATGTTTCAGTAAGTAGAGCAGTCCGTCCCCCTCCCCCGCCCAGATAACAACAGAGTCCAGGCATCTGAAAAAGAGAATTCTGACCTCTCGTAATCCGTGCTGGGATCTAAAAGAAGTCTCTGCTGCTGGGAGTATAAATTAGTGCATTCTTTCCATGATGCGGTTTGGCAGGATGAATTTAAATCCTTAAGAACGGCCATAAGCTTTCTGAATTAGTAATTCCTTTCTAGAATCTAACTTAAGGACATAAACTGGCAAGAAGGACTTATACACAAGGTTCATAGAAGTGTTACGATAGTGGAAAAATGAGAAACAGCACAAAGGATTGGAAAGACGTTTGTCAGAATGCCAATCGTGATAACTTCTACATTTACAGACAACTTATTTTCTTTAGGTTTCTGTGATTATACATTTTCCCCAATAGGCATTTAGAACTTCTCTGGTCAGAAAGAGACAAGACAAGACGTCTTTTGAAAAGCATGAACATAAAGAGAAAGAAAAAGAGAAGACAGAGAATTAATTGCCTTATTAATCTTAGATGATGGGACCTAAGCAGGGCCTTAAGGAGCCTCACCTGATTCAAAGAGAAACTGTAAAACCATTTCCAAAAATTAGAGATCTCCCCCGCCACCCCAAATATTGAGTCATTGTCTCAAACCCTGACTTAGCTATGAGTTACAGTCCAGCTGATAAAATCCTGTATATTTCTCACCCTTTTCCTCTCTTGCAACTACACGGTCATTCGGGTTCGGAAGCTACCAACCTCTGATCCATAAATAATTTGATATTCACCAGACACAGTTGTAATTTTCCAGCCTGTGGGTTTCCACATGCCATGTGGATTCCACCAAAAACTCACATTTACTTGGGGCTGGACCAGGGGATTTTGCCAAAGGGCTAACAAAAGCTCCAAGGTCTTTGGGCAGAGCCCTGGCAACTCAGGGCTGCCGGTGAGTAACTCGGAGAAGTGTGCGCAACCTCTGCCCTTCCCACCCCCACTCCCTTTGCAAAGTCTTCTCCTCAAAACAGACACATGCAACATGCCATTTTGAATATTTTAATTAGAAAGGTACAAAACATTGCGGTTCTTTATACAAATTCTGCGTTAAAATAATTTAACAAAATGCAAAGCAGTGTTTGTTCACGCCTTTAGCTATCTTCCCATTTCTCCTTACCTTTTTGTGATTCAAACCAGAAACCATTTTTCATTTAAATCCCAAGAAAAAAAACATGTGTGGGTATATAAACAGCCCTAGATATTAAAAGACAAGGCAGAGGGGCCAGTGTTAAGCTATTTTTGTGCTTAAATACTTCAAAACAGCTGTTTCCCCAAAACTCTCATTTTGGTCAGCCTGCAAGAAAAGGTGCTTTGGAAATGAGAACTGAATCTCCAAGGTAAACTGAGGCATACAGGTGTAGAGGAGTGTGTTTGTGGGTGGGTTTGAAGCATGGTTCAGAGCAGGCGTGTCTCCAGTGCCGGTGACACCTTGGGATCATAAAGCGGATCCATCTGTCCTTTGAGGACGGCTCGGTTCCTCAGGCCAAGGACGGAGAACTTGTCTTCCGTGTGCAGCAGAGGCCCATTTCAGCGAGTGAAGACACTTGCTTAGGCAAGAGGTTGATCCTGTCATTCTGGTAATGACCAGGCCGGCCGGGTTAGGCTGTCCTGGGAGGGCGAGCTTCCTCTGTATCCCCTCACTGCACCTTGTGCGTCCTCCCGAAGCTGCTCCCTCTGATGGGCACCCTGTTCCTCCACCAAGGGAAATACAAGCAGCTGGGTTGCCCGCTAGCCCTCCAAATAAACTCTGTGGTTGTTGGCAGTGGGAGCCAACACTAACAACAGGTCCTCTGTCACCCGCGTCCTTTTCAAGACGGGGGGAGGGCTGTCAAGGAGCAGGAGTGGCAAGTGTCCAGGCTGTTGGGTGAGGGCCAGAGAGAAAGAAACTGTTGTTACAATCCTCACTTCCTCCCCTGTTGCTGAGGGGGCTGTGAACGAAACAGCACTCTGGCTTCAGCCTGCTGTTCCAGGGGCACAGACGGGGCGAAAGGCAGGGCAAAAAGCCAGCCACAGCGGGCCAGGGATAAAGGGCTGCTCAGCCGAGCTGATGACAGACCTCTGTCTGTTAGCCTGAGGGCAGGTGGACCTTCCCGGTGTCCTGGAGTCGCCCACCCCACACGCGTGCGTGCATGGGCTCCCGGGCGCTCCCTTTCTCTCGCTCCCATTCTCCCCTTCAAGGACCTCTCAGTTCTGGAAACCAAAGTTCTGAATGGGAAATTTAGATGCTCAGGAGTGGAAAGTGCGACTGATTTGCATATCTCTCACACGAGAGCCCTGAAAAGAGTAAAAAGTGGTTTACAATAGTGGGAAGAAATGCATAGCATGTTTCTCGGTTCAAGAGAGGAAAAGTCTTTGCTTGATCAGAGATGGGACTCTTTCCAAGAGTTCTGAACGGACTGTAGTTTTCTCCTGAAATTCAAGTCTAAGGCAAAAAGAAAAAGAGAGAGAGAGAGAGAGAGAGAGAGAGAAGCAAGCAAGCAAATTATAGCCTTTAGAAACCCTTGGATGTTTCCACAAACTAGTCCCTGAAGATTTTGGAGGTGCTTAGAAGACATGGAATTTGCGTAGAGAAAACTTAGAAGGGATTGTCCTTTGTCTCTGATGGGAAAAGGACACGCATGGGCACGTGTCCATGAGAAGCTCTTTGCAAACATTTCTTAAGATGGCCGTTCTCAGAAGACAAGGATGAGGTAGCCAGGTCCTGCTTAGTTCCCAGAAATGGTCTTCTTATGATAAATGCTCCTTATACGGTTCTCCCTGGGGCATGACTGTGACAGGGATTGTGGTCACCACCTGATTCTGAAACACAAATCTTTTGATTCTTTCGAAAACCCAGAGGAAGATAAGCAGGATGCTGACATACTGGATCCAGGCAAACTTAATCATTTCCCAGAACCCTGGTAGATAAGTACAGACAGTTAAGGAGTCACAGATGATCTTTTCTAAGTGGAAGTTAAACTAAAGGTTTCGTTTAGACAGGAAATGGCCAAAATGTTTCAAATACCCTTATGATAAAAGGGACGACAGAAGAATATTAAGACATACATATGAATGATTCTGGCCTGAAGAATTGCCCAGAAAGAGATATGAAGAGGAAATGAGGTGGTTTTTTTTTTTGTTTTTTTGTTTTTTTTCTTTTCTGCATGAACAAGCAGATGGAATCATTTAAGCACTTTCCAATCTGAGGCTTCCCATATCTGTTCCTTCTTGGGACAAGGGAGTCACCTTCCTTTTTTTTGAAACTGAGCTATTACGGCTCTTTCACAGAAAGGATATGAAATGACCTCCACTGGGTACCGGACGACAGCGTCAATCACAAATGGGGCTCCGGCAGCCCTTCCCACCAGCCAGATGGGGTGGGGGTCCATCAGGACGGTGGTCACTGCAGTACAAGCAGGGGTTAATCAGTCCGCGAATGCTCTCTCGATAACATAAGAAGGGCTATCCAAGTACTCTTTGACCCCTCATGCAGATTCTGCGCACCAGAACTCTTTCCAAAGAAAAATGACTCAAAAGGAAAGGGAATTGAATATGCAAAGCTGCTCACAAATTATTTGTTAAAACACTTGTCAAAACATTTATGTTAAAAACTCGGAACAATCTGTGTGTTCTTCAACTGTTGGATGGCGGAGCAAAGGAATACTATGCTACCACTCAAAATAATACCAATTAAAACTCTGTAGCAGCGTGGGGAAATATTTACATTACGAAGTACAAAAAAAAAAAAAAAAAGAATCCTAAAATGTTTTCTGAGCTATGATAAGAGCTGTGTGAAAAAAAAATCTGCATATGGACAAAGGCTGGAAGGAATAAAGAAAGAAAAGCTGTAGATGAGTGTTTTTGTTTTAAAATTCCTCTGGCTTGGGAATAATGTCACCAGTGTGTTACAAAACTTCAGGAAGAAATACTGAAATTGTAGCCCTCCCTCTTGATAAATGTGTGTGGATAGTATCTCTGATGTCCAGCTGCCAGGTGATGCTTCGGATGCCTTTAGGGAAAACCTCAGACCGCCAACCAGACCAATGTGCTGAGCCAAGCACACGCGCTGGCCTCAGAGCCTTTCCTCCGTAAGGGATGGATACACTTTGCCCTCCAGCGAGAACGCTGGGCCCTCTGTTCTTCAACCGCTCATAGGGGGTAAGTCACTCCCATTCCCTACTTCTATCTGAAAACCAGGGATAGCAATTTGTCTTTGGCTTCTTTTACAGGTGTGGTGTGGGGAGCAACTCAATTAGGCGTTTACATAAAAGAAGAAATCCATCAAGCGAGTAATCAATAAATATGGCACATAAATGTGCACTCACCTGCTGGACCATAAGAGTAGTGGGGGTGTGGGTGGGGTGTGGGTCTTCAGATCAGGAGGAAAAGGAGAGATTCTGGGTAGCCTGTTCCCCTCCCATCACTGAGTAGCCACTGCTTTGGACATTTTTACCATGACAAGGTCTCCAGTTCTGGTTTTGTCCAAGGTTCCCACTAACCCGGAAGGTCCCTGAGAAGCGGCTGAATGGACTGTACCCATCACTCACCATTCCTGTCCTGGTAAGCGGCAACGATGTGGGTGAGGTCATAGTCACGGGCAAAAGGGCTGGTCCCGTTGATTACAGACACCTGGGATATGACAGGAGGATGTGGGTGAGCCCCAGCCCCCTTTCCACTCAGCCTTTCCTCCTCCCACCCACCCGGGGCTGAGACCGCCCTCTTGGGCCTGGTGGCCTACTCAGTCATCAGTAACCTTTTCTTCAAGGATGGATGACCCCTCACCCTGCAACAATTTTTTTTAATGGTTATTTATTTTGAGAGAGAGAACACGCAGGAGGGGCAGAGAGAGAGGGAGTCACAGAATCTGAAGCAGGCTTGAACTCACGGACCGCGAGATCATGACCTGAGCCAAAGTTGGCCGCTTAACCAACTTAGCCACCCAGGCGCCCCAGTGATTGAAATTATCTATGTTCAATCTTCCCATTTGAAGGGATAGAAAAAGGGGTCAATATCCACCTTTCACAGGTGGATACCCCTCTCTATTCCAGGGGGAGCAATAATTCCTTAAAAATTTTTTGAGACCATACTTTCAACCCTTTTGTCTTTTATTTGCTCTTCCTTGGATGCTCTGTAATTCACTGCTTTTAAGTGTAGAAATGGAAGTAGGATAAAGTACAAATAATAAGCATATGATCCTTTGAAGAAGGAAATGATCTCCTGCCTTCTAATATCACATTCCTGTTGATATAATCTACTATATAAACCTGCATATAAAATGGTTATATCTTGGGGTGCCTGGGCGGCTCAGTCAGTTGAGGGTCAGACTTCAGCTCACGTCTTCAGCCCCGTGTCGGGCTCCGTGCTGAGGTGACATTGCCAAGCGTGCTTGGGATTCTCTCCCTCTCACTCTGCTCCTCCCTGCTCATGTGTGTCTGCTCTCTCTCTCTCTCAAAACAAATAAACTTAAAAAAAAAAAAGGTTTATATCTTACAGTCCCCTTCCTCTTAAAAAAAAAAACAACTTATATTGATTATAATTAAAGTGACCATAAATACGTTTATCTGGACCAGTCCTAATTATGCCTGTAATAACTGATAACATTGAATTTCATTTTCTTTTTTTTTTTTAATTTTTAAAAATCTTTATTTATTTTTTGAGAGAGAGAGAGACAGCGTGAGCAGGGGAGGGTTGGAGAGAGAGGGAGACACAGAATCTGAAGCAGGCTCCAGGCTCTGAGCTGTCAGCACAGAGCCCAATGCGAACCCACAAATGGTGAGATCATGACCTGAGTTGAAGTCGGATGCTTAACCGACTGAGCCACCCAGGTGCCCCTGAATTTTATTTTCAAAAGTAGCCCAGCCCAACTTATATGGGCCCCCCATGTGATAAAAGAAAGGTTAGTAATGAGTGATCATATGCATGAATTCCAGCTCCAGCCAGCCAGTTCATGATTCTGTTATTTACAAGCACCAGGATTTGGGGAAAATAGATTAATCTCTTTCTGCCTCAGTTTCCTCATGTGTAAAAGGAGAGTTCAGTCTTTCAACAAATCTGTCTGAGTGCTCACAGTGTGCCAGGCCCCGTTTTAGGTACTGGAGTGACTGTATAGAAGATGTCACTGCTTTTACCGCTGGGGGAAAACAGCTAGCAAAGAACTGAAAACGTATCTTCGCTATTTCCTGCGGGAGTAAGGAAGATACATCTGGGTGAGGGATGATGGGCAGGGTGGAGAATGCTCTTAGAAAGGAGTGTCAGGGAAGGACCGTGCTCAGGACATTTCAGCAGGGACCCGAATGCAGTAGCAGAGCATGCTGTGTGGACACTTGGCAGAGGGAAAGGCCAAGTGCAAAAACTGGGGGGGGAGTGGCGGGCAGGGGGGCAGGAACTGCTTTGCAGGCTTGAGGAACAGCAAAAGTGCCGGTGTGGCTGGAAAGCAGCAAGGGAGGCTGTGACAGGACCAGAGGCTGGAGAGCTGGGAACTGACAGGGCCAGGCGACTCATGAGGCTGCGGTCATGACCCATGAGATGATATATTTAAACCTTTTAACTCAGGCGCCTGGGTGGCTCAGTCGGTTAAGCGTCTGACTTTGGCTCAGGTCATGATCTCACGGTTCGTGGGTTCGAGCCCCAAGTCGGGCTCTGTGCTGATGGCTCAGAGCCTGGAGTCTGTTTCAGATTCTGTGTCTCCCTCCATCTCTGACGCTCCCCTGCTCATGCTCTCTCTCTCTCTCTCTCTCACTCAGGAAAAAAAAAAATTAAAAACCTCTTAACTCAGGGCTGGCATGTTACATGCTTAAAAAACGGTGGTTAGTATGATTCCCCCCGAGTTTTCCATGAACTGCCAAAGACCGCTTGCGACATGCCTGTGAGTGCACAGATACTCAAAAATAACAGTTTAGTTCTTTTTTTTTTTTTTTAATGTTTTATTTATTTCTAGGAGAGAGAGAGAGAGAGAGAGAGAGAGACAGCGTGAGCAGGGGAGGGTCAGAGAGAGAGAGGGAGTCACAGACTGAAACAGGCTCCAGGCTCTGAGCTGGCAGTCAGCACAGAGCCCGACGCGGGGCTCGGACCCACAAACCGCGAGATCATGACCTAAGCGAAAGTCGGACGCTTAACTGACTAAGCCACCCAGGAGCCCCAAACAGTTTAGTTCTTAAAGACAGATGTCCCCCGCTCTTTTTAGATGTAAATACCGGTGTATCTGTCTCTATATTTTGAAAGAATTCCCGCAAGAATTCTTCAGAAATCATCTTCTGCGTCCCCCACAGGAAAAATGCTATTTCTAACTTCCATGTCTCCCTCTTCCAAGAACTTGATAAACAGTAACAGAGAGAAACAAAAGAGAGGGACAGTAAAAAGTATCCTTACGTTGTACCGAACATCGAGGCCACCACAGCTCAGGGGATGCTTCTGCTGCAGCCTCAGTTCTCCGTTCACATAGAGCTGGGACCCTGGAACAGCGAAGGAGGATTGGAGGAACGCCATGCTCTGCATCACGAATGTCGACATCCTCTGAAATCATTCCATGGAGAGACAATACCAATTTCAGGCGGATCGGAAGGCTCTGGGTTCCCAGCATCCCTGTGTGTGGTTGCAGCCAGTAGTCTCTTAAACACCAGGGTGAGCCATGCAGGAAGCCCCCTGCGCAGAAAACCCTCTGAGCTCTTAATATCTCACATACATTAATAGGGCCTCGATGAGAAGCATTCCATTTGCCTCAATTAAAACCCAAACTACACCTCAGAATAGAGCCTTCTGCAGCATGGATTTTCCTACAAATCAGAAAGAGAGCTCAGTTCTATTAAAAGACAAAAGGGGAGGGATGGGCTTTCGTAAGGAATCGACTCACGTGCAATTGGTAGGAGAAAGTCAAGATGAGCTGCACACCAAGAACATGTTCTGTGGATTGCAGAGGAAGCTCCAGTTTAAAATGCAGCACATCCATCTTCCCATCCTGGTTCTTGTCTTCTTCTCTAGTCTAGGAAACCCAAAGAGGGCCAGTGACCCTGGTCCTTAATAAGTCCAGGAAGAACACGCTGTTGTACACGTGACCCATTCCTTTGCTATACACAGGATTTATCTCCCCCACCGAAAGAAAAAAAAAGAATAAATTGCTATAAGTGGATCGATATCAGGGAAAGAGACACGATGTATGTGGCCCTGACCTTTCATACCAGCGCTTCTCAGTCAAGAGCCACACTGAACCGGAACTTGAAGTGGCAAGATCAACAACACCTGGGTGGCATTTTTCTTTTCTCATTGTCTCCTTCAATCTTTTTTGTTTGCTGTGTTGCTGGTGTTCTCTTTTTTCTTTGGAAACACATCTGAGTTTATATGGAATATTTAAATAGCACATTAGAATCGCCTTCTACTTCTCTAGAAGTCAGCTTTTTAAAATAGAAAAAAGGGGTGCCTGGGTGGCTCAGTCGGTTGAGCACCAACTTCGGCTCAGGTCACGATCTCACAGTTCGTGAGTCTGAGTCCCGCATTGGGCCCTCTGCTGTCAGCGCGGAACCTGCCTCTGATCCTCTGTTTCCCTCTCTCTCTGCCCCTCCCCTGCTTGTGCTCTTGCTCTCTCTCTCTCAAAAATAAACATTTAAATAATTTTTTAATAGAAAAGAAATGAATCCTACTCATTATGTATTCTCCCAAACAGACTCAGAAGAAAAGCACCAAGCTCTATTTATACTTTATTTAAACACAAGTGTCTTTGCTTCAGACTATCGATACTGGACCTCATTCTCATCATTGATGTCGGGGCTTGAAAGCCGAGTGCATATTTTAGTACCAATCAATACAATGAAAAAGGAAGCTATGTAAAATCAGCAAGGCATTAAAACTACACAGATGATTTACAAATTATGGACATGAAAGTAGGGAACACAGAGCTCTACAGAAGGAAAATGGCAAATGATAGCTCATAGAAAACACCAGAATCCAGTCTCACCTCCCATAGTCCGACCCCATACTGACCCTAAAATGAGTAACAGGGAAGATGGTCACTGAAATAAGATCACTGTGACATGATTCCTTGGGACAGCTCTGGATCCTGTTGCTACAACTGACCCTTTCCCCTGTAGGTTCTCAAAGGATTCTACTACGGTATATCACCGTTCCCATCTGCATGCTCTGTGAACAGATTCATTTTGCTTTCCGCCATTACTACTACGCAAGGAAGAGATTCTTTGTTCTTTTTCAGGCTACTAAGGTTGTTCAAGATGGAGCGATCTCAGTTTTCAGGACCTTTCAATCATGTCCTTCCTTCTAGACAATAATGTCCTTATCCTAGGCCTTGTTATAGAGGAACCAACCCCCGCTCTCCTGCCGGATTTTGTTTTCTCTGTCCTGTTCCATCAGCTTCACAGGTGTAGGGGAGGGATATCTGTTACAGGGTTGGCGATCAAGTTCCTGAGGCAATTAGGTATTAGCAGTTTTGAGTAGAATGGAAAACAGGCTGCCTTGTCTTCCTGTGAATTTTCTTCGGTTGGGAAGACTTGCAAGACAAAGTTGGGTTAACTCTCTGTAGTGGACCCATGCCTTCTGGATCTTTCGGGTTGGACAGGAAGACAAAGATCAAATGTATGTCTCCACTTGCAGGACAGGATAGTGGTTGGGGGGAATTGCCAGAAGAATCCAGACCCCAACACAGTGTGGGAGGGAGAGAAATGTATTTTTTCATTTGATCTTTACAATAAAGCCTGAGGTAAGCAGAGCGAGTATTATCCCCACTGTTTAGATGAGAAAATTGAGGTTCAGGGAGATGGAGGGATTTGTCGTGTGTGGCTAGTAATGGTAAAGACTGAAATCACATCTTTGACTTCAAATCTCACTCTCTTTCCAGGACTAAAACGTCCAGACTTAAAAACCAAACCCCCCAGGGGAAGGTGTTAGGTAGGACAAATCTTTTTGAAAAACGCCAGCATCAGAGTTTGTAAGTCTGTATTCTGTCTGTGCACACACTTTTACTTCAAGTTCACACAAGATAGGAATTTGACACAGCAACATAATTTAGTGTCTGCCTGTTAAATTCTCACATTACTCTGTCAAGTATTTTTTTAGGGGCCTACTAGGTGCCAGGCACTGTCGGGTGTTGGACACATATAACGGCAAACAAAACAGACGAACTCCATACCCTAATGGGGCTTATGTTCCAGTCCAGGAAGGCAGAAAATAAATCAATACACAAATAAATGTGGTAAGTGCCACAAAGAGAGATGAAGCAGGCTTAAATGAAAGAATGACAAGGTAGGATTTCACAGCCACTTTTTACAGGAAATATTCAGGAAGATCTGACTGTGGGAGGCTGGAATCAAGTGAGGTGGCGAGGCACAGAAATATCTATGGGAAGAGTGATCCCTGCTGACAAAGTTCACTGGCTCCGAGCTGTGCGCAAAGTGGGTCAGTGCTTAAGGGAGCGAGGAGGCCGGTGCAGCCGAGGGGGTGAGGAGGCAGGTGGAAGCTGAGGCCAAGGCAGCCGTGGGGTGAACGAATGATGCAGGCACTGCATCTCCCGCAAGCGCCCATCGCCAGGTCTGGCTTTCATGCCCACAGGGCTGGCAGGGTGGCTGCGTTTCCGTGCCAGCACTTGGCCCACTGACAACACCCACCATTTCATCCCACTGAGTTCAAATCAAGCTTAACGCATGTGCAACAGCTCTAAAGGCAGGCATTCAGAGAGCTAATACTTCTTTAACACAAGTTCAAGGTTAGTACCTAAAACCCCATTGGTGTGTTTGGCTAAGAGAATTCATAAATTACACCGGCACCTTATTTTCATAAGGCATATGTGCAGCTCGAAGCAGCTTGTATATCCATTGATTGTCCCATCTGATTCCCCTGCATATATCAGTTATAGTAATAATTAGCAATAATTAAAAAGCTCTTTACAGTGTTACATTGAGGCTCTAAGAGAGGGTACGGGACCCAGTGACAGAACTGGGGCTAGGACTTAGGTTTGCAGGCTCTATCCAGTGCTCCTTCTACCAGAGCCTACAAGAACCCTAATTTCAAAGATTTCTGGTGGCTAAAGCAGGATAATCCTTTAGGAAATGTTAAATCAATATGAATATACTAGATGAGATAAATGCAGGCATTGGTAGGTTTAGTCAATTCTCTTCAGGGTGCCTGGATCCTTCGGGGGCCAATCAGGGAGGCAGAAACAAAAATAAACAATAACTTTAACAGAGGGAGTTTAGTATAGGGGACAATTAGTAACGAAGGCGTCAGAGGACCAGAAGGGCAGGAGGGGAGCACTGAGGTAGGATACAGAGGGTGAGAGCAGAGAGCGGCGCCGCCTAGGGCTGGAGAAGGAAGGGGAGAGGCTGGCGTTACCTCAAGGAGCTGGGATCCAGACCTCAGGAGCCTGGAGGAAGGAACCCACCAGAGGGAATCAATAGGCCTGGAGGAGACATCCCCCTTCCGTCTGCTTCACCCGGACAATGGTTCTTTCCTCTGGCTGCGGTTTCCAGTTTTCTCCCACTCCGAGAACTGGGCTCATCATGCCTCCTACAGGCAGAGCCTCACAGAGACGCAGAGGGCAAGGGAGGATGTGGTTTTCAGCAACTCAGCATGAGCAGGACAAAGCAGGGTGCGGAAGGACGGGTTTGGGACGGGAACAAGGCCCACTAATCTGCACACCACCTGTGAGAGTTGCTGTAAATTTAATCACTGCCATTATTTCTGGCTGCACCGACTTGTAACATTTCCCCCATCAGGGATTCTACAGTATTTGATGGTTTGTTGGAATTTTGTTAGGCTCCTGTTTGTTTTCATACCTTTTAATTCTTTCATATCATAGTCTTTTATCAAAGGTTAATTTCTTAATTTTTTCAAAAGATTTTATGTTTAAGTAATTCTATACCCAATGTGTGGCTCAAACTCAAGATCCAGAGTTGCATGGTCTACCAACTGAGCCAGCCAGGCACCCCAAGGTTAATTTTTTTTTCTTACGAATAGTTTATTGTCAAGTTGGTTTCCATGTAACACCCAGTGCTCATCCCCACAAGTGCCCTCCTCCATACCCATCTCCCCCCTCCCCCCCCCACATCCATCAGTCCCCAGTTTGTTTCTCAGCATTCAAGAGTCTCTCATGGTTTGCCTCTCTCCCTTTCCCCCACCATTTCCACCCTTCTTCTCCCCCATGATCCTCAGTAAAGTTCCTCCTAATCCTCCTATACGTGCAAACATATGATATTTGTCCTTCTCTGCCTGACTTATTTCGCTCAGCATAACACCCTCAAGGTCCATCCATGTTGCGACACATGGCCAGAATTCATTGTTTCTCATTGCCATGTAGTATTCCATCGTATAGATAAACCACATCTTCTTGATCCATTTGTCCCTTGATGGACCCTTAGGCTCTTTCCATGTTTTAGCTATTGTTTAGAGTGCTGCTATGAACATTGGGGTACATGTGCTCCTAGGCCTCAGCATTTCCGTATCCCCCAAGGTTAATTTCTTAGTGCATACCAGTGTCCATCATACCATATTCTTGTCATCGTGGGGTGTTTCATATTTTTCTTTTAATGTTGAAAGCATTCTTTGGCACCAGTCTCTCGGTCTCCAGCAAAGTAGGGAACAATACTTTATGGCTCCTAGACTCATCAAATTCTTGCTACTTGTATTTCAATGAGTCTAAGATACCATCAATTATAAAATGCACCATTACTTTATATACCAGCACCTTTTATATGAGCACCTGGATGGTTTGGTCAGCGGAGTGGCTGACTTGATTTCGGCTCAGGTCATGATCCCAGGGTTGTGGAAATGAGGCCCATGTCAGGCTCGGTGCTGAGCATGAAGCCTGCTTAAGATACTCTCCCTCTCTCTCTCTCTCTCTGCTCCTATCCCCTGCTAACACACTCTCTCTCAAATAAAACTATACACACACACACACACACACACACACACACACACTATAAACAAAATAAATTGATCTAGGGATTCCTAAAACTTCTTTACATTTTGATATATTTGCAT